TAATCCAAGTTTCTCTGTTCTTTGTTGTGGTAGCCAGTCCAGCCATGTGTGTGTGTGTTGTTACTTGCTACTTCTTCACATGAGGAATAAACTCAACTGAGCATGTTCAGAGTGAATCAGGTGATTGGCAGCTTGTTCCTGATTTGAGAAATTAAAAGTGTTACAACTATCCTGTGTTACAACCATCCCCGGTCTCCCCTATCTCAGAGGGAAAGCTGATGGTCCAACCTTCCTCCCTGTTCCAGGCCTCCTTTGCCAACAACCTTATCGCTGATGAATACTTGAAAGATGCTAAAACACCAGAGGAAATCAGAGATGCATTCACTGAAATCATGGGGGACCTGCTGATGACGCTGTCTGTTGTCAAGGTGGCTGGATACCATTCAGGTCAGAGGACACAAGGCACTGAAGGCACTGAAGCATCCTGACAGCTCTGTAAATAAATGGAAACAAATGTGAATTGGTTGTGTCACACACAGTGGACTAACTGACCAGTGTAGGAGGACGTTCTGTTCATGTTGGTGCAATTTGCTGGTATAGATTGTAGATTACTTGATGCTCTTGAAGTTTCATTTCACCCTGATAATAGGACAGTTCATGCCTCATCCTTGCTCTTGATCTTTTACCTACATCTCAGCCAAAGCATACATCTCTTGTCTTCTATCTCTTGGCTTTTTTTTAGATGCAGGTGTTCCAGTTTATATGTATGAGTTTGTGTACCGTGCTGAGATACACAAACACACCAGACCCAGCTTTGTGAAGGCAGATCATGCAGACGATGTCGGCTTCATGTTTGGTGGATGTTTCTGGAATGCAGATATAAAAATCATCGGTAGGTTATATGTAATATGGTATCCATGATATACTGTATAGATAAGATGGGCCCTTCTGCTCCTGTCTTTACTTATTGCAAACTTTAGAGGGCTAAGTACTTCTCCACTTCATGCCCAACTTGTTGTTGGAATAAATGAAGGAATGAATGGGACCACTACAACACAAAAGTACTGAAGTGACTGATTAAATTCCTTCTGTTCAATCTTCAGGCAACATTTCCAGGGAGGATGAAAGTCTTTGTAGGACCATGATGTCTTACTGGGGCGCTTTTGCCCGTACTGGGTGAGTAAGCACTGAGAACAAAAATATAATTAAAGCAGACAGTTTTCATTAACTTCCAGTATACTGACACTTCAGTTACTTTCAGCTGTATGGAGCTTTTTTAGTATTCTCCAGCTCAGGGGTTCTCAACCTTTTGTAAGTTAACACATAAACTGGGCTGTAGATATGTGTTATGCTAATGTCAGTTGCTGACATTGTGAGTACTCTCTGTTGTGCCTTAAGCAGCTCGTCCTTTTTCCTTAGAAAATATTCTTTTGACTTCCCAACATATCCCCAGTGCTTTGAGTATAACAATATATCTTTGGAGCTTTGATGATTTTAACGCCTCATTTTACAGAATTTCGCCACTTCAGCACACTGTGCTTTCAGTTCTGCATCACTGCCTTATCAAACTTAATGTATTCATGGTCATATTTCCTCATCACATGCCATGGAGTTTTTACTAGTGCTGAGTTGTCTCCTCCATCACTTTTTTGTTTCAAAAACAAATCCAACGATCCATTTGTGTCACTGCATCATCTAACAACCAATGGCAAAACCATGAATGCATAGAGAGAACTGGATACAGCATTGAAAGTTGCTTAGTGGCGCATGAAGCCAAAGAAGTTCAACTTCATGGGTATAACATCACAGATTTTTCACATTGTGGGGACCATAGATCAGACGCACTAGAGACTTCCCTCAGCGGAGTTTCTTGCTTTCGGTTTATCCTTTAGCTAACTTGAATGGGGGTAGAAATGATTTAATCGTGTAGCTCTTCTAGACTTTAGAAATATTACTGAAAAAAAAAGCCAATTAATGCAGTTTTAAATACAGTCTTATTAAATGATAAGCAGAGTGGCAGACTGGCTCAAGAAGCTGCTTCATTGAAAACTGATACTTAATTGAAGAGTAACCTGTTGCAATGTCATGCTTTGGAAACTTTTTACTGTGAAACAGTAGAATGGCATTATTCAGCAGAATGAGCATATATTTATAGATACAATATATTTGAACTGAGCTGTTGCAACGGCAAATCTTCACTCAAGATTCAAATAAAAGATGATACAATTCAAGAATAAATACAGTAGCTGAACCAGAAATATAGGCTATGCTTTATATTATGTGTATAAGGTATGAAGCATGCAGAGAAAGAGAAATTAACATATCTATGACCTTAAGGAGTACTGAGTGATAAAAGAAAAGTAAAGTACACAAAATGTGCAAAATCATATTACCAGGCAATAAGGCAGACATTCATTCTAAAGCCTGACATTAGGAAATCAGTAGCAAGCATATATAAAGATGTTTTTTTCTGCATAGATTTTCCTAATGTCTGTAGCTGGCATGTTTAAATATCTCCTCAGCTCTCCCAATGGTCCTGGGCTCATCAGTTGGCCTCAGTATGACAGGCAGAAACAGGAATACATGGAGCTGGGCCTGACGCAGACAGTGAGACAAAAACTGAAGGAGGACAGAGTCCATTTTGCCACTGTCACCCTCCCTCAGAAGCTGGAACAGTTAGCAGCTGCAGCCAAACTTGGAAACTGATCTCTGCAAGCTGTCATGTTGTTTGTGTTGGTCCCAAGTTTGAGAGTTTATGTCTCCACACCAAAACTAACTGGTATAATTACTTCCTGGAACCCTTTATATCTGTGTTAGAATGCATTTACTGGGCGTCTTATCCAAGTCTTTTGATTCCATGCAAGTGTCTTTTTTGACATGTTTATTGTGAAATAGCTGTAATTAAAGGTGTCACTGCAAAGAATGAAAATTTGTCTCTGGTTTAAACATCCTGATCGCATGGTTGTCAGAGGCAGTTTGAAATGATTGTTTAGAGCTCACAGTAATTATGAAATAATTGGGAGTGACATGTCCCATAAATTTAAAAATTAAAGTGATTTCCCATAAATAAACATTGTATAAAGTTTAGGCACCATGGAAATTTTCAGATGATGTGCAAACTGTGTAAAAATTCACCATGAAGAAATCATCATGTGCTAAGGAATACTGTTATTGTGAACATTCTGTTTGTACATCTGGGCTTGTCCCACATCTAGTTAGCATAGACCACTGTCAAGCACATTTCTGACCATTGGGTTTTTTTAACAATCATCCTGTAACAGAGTAACATTGAGTAACGTGCCGAGACTAAAGTAGCCCATTTGCTTATAAAAATCAATAATTGTAGAACAATAATATAGATGTAATATTTTTCTTTTTCAAAATATTTGACGAGAACATCAACAGACCTAATCTACTTTAAATCTAGCCTTTCAATAATAGATCATTTTATGACAAATACTTAAGGAATGCAACTTGTGTGAGTAGAGAGAGTTAATTTAGCAAAAAAAATTAACCTACAGAAACAAGGCTGTAGCCATGGAGTCAACATTGGGGGGAGACCAAATCTGCACGCCCCCCCACCCCCCCAAACACACACACCCTTACTTCCTGCCATTGAAATTCTAAAGTAAAATATGCACAAATTGACTAACACATCTTGGACAAACCACACGCAGAACTGCAATACTTGAACCGATAGTTGTAATAACAGGGATTTGTTATGTTTAGTTATGATTACATTATTTCGAATGGTGGTATGTGGTTGCCTATCGTAGAATAGCAATGAAAAAAAAAATGTTTCTTTTTTGTTGTTTTTCAGTTTCAGATATATAAGGGGGGGGGGGGGGGGGGGGGGGGGCATTTTGGGCATATCTGAACATTGGGGGGATGTGTGTCCCTCATTGTATATGGTGACTACTGCCCTGTTCAGCAATATTTGTGCTGACTTGATGCAGCACCACAGCTCTTTGTTTTAAACTTCCTTTATTCAATCCTCAAAAATGATACAAAAGCATGAAAGAATACAATTTAAAACAAGGAGAACAAAGAACAGTTTCAAAGTAAAGTTCCAGTTCATACATGAAGTGGTGGATATTGGTTTTCCCTGTTAGAGCATTTGTATCTATAGATGAAAAATGTGCCATATAAAATGAGAGGATTCAAAATGAAGACATGACCTCTGTCTAAATCATTTTCTCCATAACAAATTATATCTTTTTTTTGTAAATTAGTCTTAGATCCACATCATATGTCATGTCATATATTTCATCATATTAAAAAAAAAGTAATTTGTGAGATTGGTTAATTTAAAATTTTTGAAATATGCCTCACTCACCTTATTTGTTAAAGAGAGTTGAGATTCATTTCCAATTAATGCTCTCAAAGTGACTATTCTAATAGTGTTTACAGGAAGAAGTTGCAGAGAGGTGTATTATATGTTTCAAAAGTGTATGACTACATTTGTTATCCTTTATGTTGATGCCATTTGACAAAACATCTGTCCTAAACATTGACTGTTCATTAGACATATTACCTCCCTGCAACAGTCTCAAAAAAAAAAACGTGTAGCTACTGCATCAAATACTATGCTATCTTCTCGTGCAGGTATTGGGATACCAGATGGCTTTAAGAATTCAGTATGTGTAGGCTAAGTAATTGACTGTCTTTTTAATCAGTTGTGATATCAGTAAAATAGTATTTTGGACCCAACTACCATACAAGATTGATTTATTTATATATTTTTATTATTCCATATCAAATGTTTATAGGGGGGGAAATTGTGTTTGTGAATAAGCCAACATAAAAGAGCCTGCCTGTGAAAGTAAGATAACTGGTGGGAGGAGTATTTTTACAGCTAGATCGCACTCAAGACATTCTTCACCGCCATTTTAAAATAAGTAAATAAGTGAATAAAGTTTGGAATTAGGTACCATATCCCATGTTTATTATTCATGCAATGTTTGAAGCACCACGGCTCATTGGTTCATTGGGTGTGCTGCTTGGTGACGTCATTGGGTTCCCCCCTTCGTCGTGTTCGCATCTGTCTGCGCATGCGCTCTTCTCCCTCAAACCCACAGTCTCGAGCAAAAACCTACGACGCACAAACATCAGTGAGGAGCAGCCCCCTTCTCCTGCCACCACGGGACATCTCATGTACGTATAGCTGTGTCGTCTTCTCATTAAATATCAATTTATACATTTAACACTTGCTCCTGTACGACTCATTGACGCCATTTTTGCATAGCTTCACTGTTTGTTTGAATGGCTGTGGAGCCAAAGCGGAGGGTTAATTTTCTCCTTCTCGTGATGTTTTGGCCTCTATCGTTGTTATAGGAGTTGTTTTGGTGTGTATTTGGCTTCACTTGCAGATACACCTCCGTCACTGACGTGGGGTATCCCTGTTTGCCTGGAAATGCCAGCGCTGAACGTTTCAGGAAACGTCAGCCTTTTGCTGTGTTTATTCAGCGCTGCTTCCTTTCTCAGCTGTCATGTGCGCCCAGTCTGCTACTTGAACCCATCAGTCAGCATTTGTGTTCAGTATTAAACTATGGTCTGCACAGGGAGTTCAAGCACCTGTTTGTTTCATATGTTTTTAAGTCGTCATATCTTAATTCATTCAGGATAGACGGTGCGATGATCTGTTGTCCTCTGTGGAGACAGCGGAAACCAAACCACATTCAGAAAGACTGACATTTAAGGTGACCTTGCTTATTGAGAAATAGATAAACCAAGTGAAATATAACACAAGGTGGTTTGTTGATTGTTTCGAGACACATTTGTATTCGGCAGGCGTATCATCCACCAAGCATATTGTATTTGTAGGAAAATTCGACTTTTGAAATTCATCCACAAGTAAATTCAACAAGCTTCTTCCAGCAGCATCATGGCTGGTTGTAGCGAGTCGGGTCAAATCAGAAGTATTATATTTGAGAACATAAGAGCTGCTTTATATTACTGCTACGTATACCACACTGGGGGATACCACCTCTTGATTTTGCAGCTGATCGGCTGATAAGCAGTGCATTATGAAATTAGCTGATTCTTTAATGGAGTCTGGCGTGACGTTCTCTTCATGCTTGATAGAAAAGCAGGTATACAAGCAGATGTGAGATAATACACGTAGCCCTATACAAACAGTACATAATGAGGTCATTATAACTATAGATAGTGAGCAGTGCACACTCAGGATACAGATCTGTATTAAATATGTAAAGCATGTAGCCTCAAGCCATTTTACACAGTCATGATTTCTAGATTAATCATAAACTACACTCTTAATCTGCATTCACACTACTTATCTCTCCATTTTCCTTGCCTAGGTCTTTAATGGCTATTTGCCAGTTAAGGCAAACCTGACAAAAATAATACTGGGCCTCCAGTTATTTGGGTTGACAGATATAGATTGTGTTTGGTTTTATCTGGAAGTGCACACGGAGAAGAACTTCCTCCCAAGTTTTATGGCATCCACCGCTCATTTTACCATGGCTCTGTACTGTTAGGTTAGTTGTTTTGCTGTGCATGCTGTTGCACCACCTGTCAGTCAGGTTTTAAAATATGGAGAAAAAGCTTGAAATAGTTCTATAATGCACAGGCAGGCATGTTGTTTAGACTCTTGTTCTTCTCTGTTACACAGTAGGTTGTGATGGGAAAGCAACACTAGGGGGACATGGGGGATAAATGAAATGATATTTGACATGCTAGGTCAAGAGGTGTTAATGGTATTAGTATTGAACAGCTTGCTCAAGCGTCCTTTTTGACCTCTCTTCGACCTTTTCGTGTTGTTTTTGAGTATAAGCTGCTTCAGTGCATTCAGACACCAAATCCTGATAGTTTCTGGTTCGCAGTCTTAAAAGAAAAACCTGTTTTGTTTTTTTTTTGTTTTGTTTTTTAAGAATTTCATGGTAGATGTAGTGGACAAGGTGCATCGTACTACATGGGTACATTGCTTTCATGTTTACTGACATGGTGATGGAGTCGAGTGCCACTGTCTTCAGAAAACTAGCTTGTCTCTATAAACAAATTTAGCGTTGCTGTGTTGGGAGTGTTGCCTGTGGTGAACAGATTACATCTGTAAGTGCAGTCCCCTCAGCTGTTACACAGGCCAACCTCAGCCGAGATTCTCCACCTAACTTATCAGCTATCTGCCACTTCTGCTTGTCACACATCTATTGTAGCGTGTGATGTGAGGCCGTGCAGTTCAGCTATCACACTTTGGCACTGTTGTGCTGCAGTGTTCCCACGCTGAGGCTTACAGTAAATGTACAATTATGAAGGCATTTTGTTCCATAACACAAATTTACCACTTCAAAAGTGACAGTAAATCAGTGATTATTTGCATAGGTGATGGGGTTTCTGACTTTTTAGCTGTATTGTAAAAATGGGACTTTATTATTGCTGTCAGTCTTAAAGCTATGCAGAGCGGTAGTTCCTACTTGTTGGTGATAAAAGTTATCACTGCCCCCTTAACACCTGTAATCCGTTGATGCAGACAAACAGTTCTTTTCTGATATAGTCCAGTCTTGTTTGGGTCCACTTGAAGAGGCAGGGGCCAACATTCCTGCACCTAGAACACTTACATACCCCCTCCCCTCTGCCTGTGAAAGTCTGATCCACCTCAGCTGGAGCATTGCTATTCCACTATCAGTTTGGAGACTGATACTCATTGTTGGTTTAGGGCTGTGGTGGAAATAGCTTGGGACATGTACTCAGGCACTTGACCTGAAAGATCATTCTGGTTTCTTACAGTCTTGGTTCTATTTTCATAGTTTGGCCACCAATCCCGGCTGTTATAATAATATTATGCTCACAAGTTTTTGCAGAGCTCTGGTAACATTGCTAAAAAGGAGTTAAGCGGCACAGGAAACATGTGCAGTCATATGATAAGACAAGTTGTAAACAAACCCTCAGGTAAGACAGACTTCAAGAAAGCTGAACAGTAAAATTACTACCCAAGCTGTCTTTTGTAAACATCACAGTTTATGAAACAACTCCTGGTTCGGCTTTGACTTTCAATACTTGCTGTTTTTATGTGTGCACAAAGTTGACAAAGAGGGATTATTACAAACATTTAAGGTTTACCTCCAAATGCTCCACTGCTTATCTTACTTGCCTTGGCTTAGATTTAGTTGCTCCCAGAACTCAACATTTTCACAGCAGATGTTTTGACTTGTTACAGTAAGAGCATGTGCATGGAATTTATCCATCATTCATTTTTCTGTGTACACTTGTGGTTTAACTATGACATGTCGAAATGCGTTGTGTGAAAACATCAATACTTTGATGGGTACGGTGATACCACAGCAGTAGAAACAATGGTCAAACCAAAAAAATTAAAATGAAAGTTGCAATATTCCAGAATTATCCTTTTAACTACAGTGTTGAGGTGCTTGTTCCTTATCTATTGTCTATTTTATGGTACTTCATACTTCTCCATTTCAGAGTGAAATATTATATGCTTTACTCCTCTAAAATGTACTTTCTTTGCAAATTGATAAGCTTATAAAATATGATGTTTTGTTATCGAAAACAATTACCAATATACAGGGTATTTCAAATCATCAACGTTAAAATGCTGCCTACATATTAATCCATCATAAAACCTAATAATTTAATTTTCATAATGATGTAACGCTCTAAGAGGAGCCAATGCGTACTACTGAGTGCTTTCATTTATGATACTTAAAGTTCTTTGATGCCCCTTTTTAATTAGCCTAAGTGAGAAGACTAAAACAAAATGAAAACACAAATTTAATGCAGGGCTTTAATAGTACTGAGTACTTTTCAGTGTGGTCTTGATTTACAACACTTACGATACAACTATATCCAAAATCCAAAAGATGATGTATCACGACATTGAAATAATATTGATATATTGCCCATCCCTGCTGAATTCTGAGATTCCAAAGTTTCTAAAGTTTCCAAATGTGTCAGGCTGAATTTTGGGGAGATGTGAATTAAACTTAGAATGTAAAAAATAATGAATGTAGCCACCGTGACATCACCCATTGGTATGTGAACTCTCATTTTGAAGCATCGAGTTTTGCATTTTGGCAGTCGCTATCTTGGATTTTTGGAGCCAAAAGTGACCATATTTTGATTAGTGGGTAGAAATAACTCTAATGCTAGCTGCTAACTCGGTTAGCACGGTGCATTTACAGTTATGGTTAACTATGATAATGCTTAAGCTAATTTCTCACTAGCAAAACAGGCTTAAAACTTTTAAAACTTAAAAACGTACTTACTTAGCCCTAAGACTCCCTGGAGGGTCTTTTAATACAACCAAATGCTGAATGAGACTTTTTTAGGTGACCAAAATATTACGATTAACTTTCATAAACTGTAGACATACTAAAATGGCTATGCCTATAAAGAATGTAAAGTTGACGTCACAGCATGTTAAATTTTATGGAGGGGGTACCATCTTGTCAGGTATGTCAGGCTCTGTTACCTGTGTCTACGTGGAGGTGAAGCAATGGTATTTGGACAAACCAATCAAGGTAAATAATCTAACATACAGATGTGTGTGTGTGTGTGTGTGTGTGTGTGTATCAGAGAGTGTGGAATAGGTTTATAACAACATTAAGGAGTAATTTACAAAGAAGAGAAATAGTGAGAAATCACATTTTAATGTGCCGAGTGTAGGAGCTAGAAGAGAAACAGCCTTGTTTCCAGCTCTTTGTACAAATTCATCCAAAGGATCAAAGAGCGGTGAGACAAAGAACGTCCACATTGCTTTTGTTTTGGTGACTGAGACATCCCAGTAGACACAATAATGAAGATACTGAACAACTTACCCTCTCAAATTACTTAAGGAAGCCAAAGGATTGTGGGTCAGGAAAGTCCCAAGTTGGGTATTAGTTCCCACCTCTATCAGGCTGAGCTTTGTTCAGGAATGCTTGAGAGAGCACTTTGGGTAATAGACTAGTGGCCTGAGAAGGGGACTTTGAAAGCACCTTGCTACTGTGCTGAATTGATGTTTTATAATACTGTATCTGACATGAAAGAAAAGCTGATTTATTGCTTTGCATTTGCCGCATGTTGCCCATAAAGCCATAGTGACAAAGATAGATGAACTGTGAAGCACCATGAGTGTTGAGGTTGACGCCGCCTTGCTCATATCTTGCTCAACTGATGTTTTTGCAGACGAGTGTGCT